TCCCATGATGACCAACGTGTCCCGTAACCCATTGACAAGGAAGCCTTGCCTGTCCTGCTATTTAAGAATAGCTGAAGTAAAATAGATTCATGCCTTTTTCAAGGGCACTAGTGTTAGAATTTGAATCTCGATTTCACTTTCCGCGGCGTTAACAATTACCCGAATCGCATACACACAAAGAATTAGTTCCTATGTAGGGAATCAAACTGAGGTAGCTTGGGTGAAACATAGGAATCGTAACCTTTATTCAATAGCAGATAAATCTCAGAAAGGTTAGACAACGGAACGACTGAAAGATGTCGGAAACAACAACAACAAATATGAAAATAATTGTTCGAATATCAGTAAACATAAAAGTAGTCAGTGAATGTTCTAGTTTCAAATAGTCCTGGATATGACGATAAACTACAACCGGTAGCAAGGCATCCGATCGGGAGATTAGAGGTTTTGAGGAGCTACTCTTCCCAGGTCGACGCTGACCCAGAGTGGTAGCACCTGTTAGGGTCCCAGATATGGGCAATTAGTGAACCCCAAAACAAAAACAAAACACTATGAAAGTATAAAAATACATTTTTATAGTAAAAATACCAGCAATACAATTTTTATATAAAACATTACCACAATACATATTCATAGTAAAATTGCCAACATTATAATATTTGTAAGGCAAAATGACTAGCATTACTTTTTATCTGTAGCTGAAGGCATAGAAATGCGTCCAAAATATTTAGATTTCAGCAATAAATAACCCATAGAGGTGTCGATATGCCGCTAAACAGAATCAAACAACCAACATGAAAAAAATATTTCATGACTTTAATTCATATATCCTACAATTTCTGAAAGAAACTTAACTGCATTCGAAAATATAACTTCAGCAAAACTACAATATAAAATGCATATACTTCTAATAACCATGTCCACACAATCATGTATATGCACAAAAGCAGAGTATCATCCACCATGTATTCAACTGCGAAATCAGAATAACATCATATTATTTTTTTTACTTCAAAGACTCCGAAGAAAATCGAATCACGACATGACCCATAAAGGTGTTGATATGCCGTTAAACAAACAAATCAAATCAAATCTAGAATCAAACTCTATTTAAATACAAGGCATAAACAAAAGGAAACGGTTTAAGAATAAACATAAAAACGTGATTTAATAGACAAAGACGCATTACTTTTGAGTCATGCTTGTGTCTATTGCAAGTTTCATCTTCAACTTTCTAAGTAACGCGCCTCTCACGCAATCAGTAACATCGAAGAGAATGTAACTCATGCCTGGCCTGATCTTGCAGATTAAACGTCTTCTACTCAGTTGAGTTCAAGTCAAAGTCGAATTCGGTCAATCTTTAAATCATTTCACATATCCCCAGCACCACGTTATGTCGTTGTGAACATTGATTTTTAGCGCGCTGTGTACATCGCAGTTAGTCCCACCTACTTAGCTAAAGCTTTGTGCATTAAGACTGACGCAAGGTATCGTTATAAAGGCAAACAAGTCTGACAAAAGTAGAAAACATAGAGAAACCTTGAACCATACACGCAAGGAAGATACGAACATGAGCGCACATTATCTAAGAGAGTGCTGAAACGTTCTTGGATCGACCAAAAAGGTATTCTTCCCCCAATTCTGATGTTTGGTCAGATATGGCGAAATGGGTTGCGCCTCAACATTTTTTTTTTACATCACCTCATATAATACTAATTAAGTTTGTATTCATAGGACTTTTTATTAAATGCTATAAATATTTTTTGCCTGCGTACGGGATGCTGTTACGGATACGTCCGTCTATAAAAAATCCTGATGGGTCTGTTATTTTTCTTAGATTCATCTCGTTGTACAGGTTAAATAAATGCGGTGAGAAAACAAATACTTTTCATACACCTCTTTTTATTTTTGTGCATTTAGTTAACTCAATTTCTGCATATGTAAACTGTTTGTTCCGAGTACAAATTATGGATTATTTCAATATCCTTTCCTTGTAGATCAAGGTTTCCTGATACTTCACGGAGTTCTTAGTGTCATTCTTTATCGAATGTCTTTCGGTCATCTATGAAAATTAGGTATGTATATTTCTGTATTTCTACTGCTCGCTCTAATAGCATACTGATCATGGAAATTACAATTCTTGTTTATGTGATCTGAACAAAGCCGCATTGCTCGTAAGCTGTTTCTGATAAATATGTTTGATTTTGTAGTTCAGCCAGCTAATTGTTCAGTGGAGTTTGCTTTGCCACACCGGGTTTCTTTGGTAGTGCTATGAAAATAGATTTATTAAGATCTTCTAATTTTTTTACACCTGTCGTGTATTTCGTTTATCACTTCGGCAAATTAATCAGTCTCAAAATCGTGTAAAATTGTCATGAAGTCTATTACAAACTTATCTGGTCCTGCTTCTTTGTTCCACTTCATCTTTGCAAATGCTGACCTGTTCTCAGATTTTAATTTTACGTGTCTTTCCACGTTTTTGTGTATTGTAGGTTTTCTCATCTGTGGCCATGGAAGAAATCTCCAATGCACATATTCCAAATATATAAATAATGATTGCTCCCTCCTTAGATTTTATACACAGCGCCAAAGAGTATGTCTTCTACACTGCTATTTCTTTTATGGCTTTTTACGTACTCCTCTTATTTTTTCTCTGCTGCAATATGAATCTCTGGATAACGCTAATAAAATACCCATTCTTTTTAAATATCAATTTACATAATGCTATGGTGTTAATATCTATTTTTTCCACTTCCACTCACTTGTTTTATATTTTCTCTTGTGTAATATGATTCTGTGGTTACCATTAATAAAATACCAATTCTTTTTAAATTTCAATTTACATAATGCTCTGGTGTTAATATTTAGCCTTCTACGGACTCACTTGTAATATTTTTTCTCTGGTGTAATATGATTCTGTGATTACCGTTAATAAAATAACCATTCTTTTTAAAACTCAATTTATATACTGCTAGAGTGTTAATAATTACCCTCCCCACTGCCAATCATTTATTTTATTTTTTCTCTTGTGTAATATGATTCTGTGGTTACCGTTAATAATATAACCATTCTTTTTAAAACTCAATTTATATACTGCTAGAGTGTTAGTATTTAGCCTTCCCATTTCGACTCACTTGTTTTATATTTTTCTTGTGTAGATTGATTCTTTGGTTACGGTTTATAAAACACCCATTCTTTTTAAATCTTAATTTATATACTGCTAGAGTGTTAATATTTAGCCTTCTGACTTACACTCACTTGTTTTAAACTTTCCTACTTACCAACTTGCCATATTGTCCTAACATTCAATTCAATTAATGTATTATCTTTGTTGCTGACGTGTCTCTTCTGATCTCAATTATGTCATTATCCGATAGTTTGAGTTGTAAATGGATATAATTCTTCCTAAGCGGTCTGGTGAAATGGCTTTCAATTGGTTCCTTCGCAGTGATGTTACTGAGACACAACCTCTAGGTAGATGCTTACTCTCTCTTTCTGTATTTCTTTTTTATAGGTCTTATTTATCTCAAGCGGATTACTAACTACCCTCCTCATCTTATTTATCTCAAGCGGATTACTAACTACCCTCCTCATCCAGACCAAAATACAGCGGAGGTACTGGTTAAGCCACCAAGATTCCGATAAAAAAACAAAAAAAAAAAAACAACAAAAAACAAAAATGATGATGATGATGCTCATTTGCACTATTTCTCTTCGCCTTTTACACTACTGTTGCGCCTCCCGCACAAACACATATATGCACGTGCACACGCGTGTGCACCAACACGTACATACACACAAATACGCAATAGAAAGAAAAAAAGGAAAATCATTACAGAAAAAAAGAAAGAGAATAAAAAATGTAACATTCAAAAGAAAGAAAGCGCAAAAGAAAAGAAAGGAAAGAATGAACGTAAAAGAAAATGTATCATCACACAGGCACACCCACACGCGCGTGCGCAGATGCACACGCATAAAACTAGCATTAATCAACCGATATTGATAACACGCCATTTACAAGATGTGAGATCCAACCTATGATATCTATCCCTCCAAAAACATTGTTAACATTGGTGTTTCAAATTTCATTATGGAAGCAAATTGCAGCATAATTTTTTAAAGATATAGAAACTCCAAATATATAGGCGAAAGAACTATATTTGATAACACGGTATTCCATATTTCCGAACAAAGTATTATTTTATTATTTTCCATGTTAATATTCACTACTTGGCATTCTATAACCTTCATCAGTCTGTCAATCATTCTCTTAACTTTTCTACAGTTTCGAATTTATCATTATTGCACCAGTTTTTATTGTTTTCCAGATATCTTTGCTTGAATAATGTTTTCCATTCTCATAGATATATATCTTTAGTGGTAGATCTCAAAGTTTGTATTGGATTAATATTTAGAAAGTCTAGAGGCTATTTTATTAATGTGGTGTCTTTAAAAAACTATTTTGTTGAGGTGGGAAATTTTCACCTTTGCACAATGTGAATGAGCATTGTCTTACATAAATATACTCAGCAGCCTAAAGCTTCTTGGTTGTGACATGTGACACCTAAAAAGAGTCCCGTCTAAAATTAGCAGTTATTCTCTTGCTTTTATATTGACACCGTCATCCTCTCTAAAAGGACGTATAATTATAGTGTCTAAAACATAAACCCCTAAACGTTATTCTAAATTTACACTATTGTCTTCTAAATTTGTACTGATTGATTCTTTCATGATGGACTCAACGCCCAGCCATTTCTCTTTCGTTTTTTTTCCTGTAATTATTTTATTTTCTTCCCATTTTTCTTTCTTATGAATGATACATTTTAAAATACTTTTACGTTTTTTTTCTCGGTAATGATTTTACGTTCATTCTTTCCATTATTTTCTTTCATTCTTGCTTTCTATTGAATGTTACATTTTTTATGCTCTTTCTTTTATTTCCTGTAATGATTTTACGTTCATTCTTTCCTTTCTTTTCTTTCATTCTTTCTTTCTTTTGAATGGTACATTTTATTTATTCTTTTTCTTTTTTTTCCTGTAATGATTTTACGTTCATTCTTTCCATTCTTTTCTTTCATTTTTCTTTTGAATGTTACACTTTTTATTCTTTTTCTTTTTTTCCGGTAATGATTTTACGTTTATACTTTCCTTTCTTTCATTTTCTTTTGATTCATTTTTTTCTTTTTTCCGAATTTTTACGTTTAATTTTTATTCATTTCCTTTTTTTTTTGAATGTAATTTTTTCACTTTCCTTTTTTTTCCTTTCTTTTCTTTCATTCTTTTTTTTTTTGATTGTTACATTTTTTATTGACGTTCTTTTTTTCCCGTAATGATTTTAGGTTCATTCTTTCCTTTCTTTTCTTTCATTCTTTCTTTCTTTTGAATGTTACATTTTTTATTCTCTTTCATTTTTCCGGTAAAGATTTGACGTTCATTCTTTCCTTTCTTTTCTTCATTCTTCCTTTCTTGTGAATGTGACATTTTTTATTCTCTTTTGTCCTGTAAAGATTTTACGTTCATTTTTTCCTTTCTTTTCTTTCATTCTTTCTTTCTTTTGAATGTTAAATATTTATTCTTTTTCTTTTTTCCTTGTAATGATTTTACGTTCGTTCTTTCCTTTCTTTTCTTTCATACTTTCTTTCTTTTGAATGTTACAATTTTTATTTTCTTTCCCTTTTTTCCTGTAATGATTTTACGTTCATTCTTTCCTTTCTTTTTTTCATTCTCTCTTTCTTTTGAATGTTACATTTTTTATGCTCTTTCGTTTATTTCCTGTAATGATTTTACGTTCATTCTTTCCTTTAAATCTTTCATTGTTTTTTCTTTTGAATGTTACATTTTTTATTCTTTTTCTTTTTTTTCCTGTGATGATTATACTTTTATTCTTTCTTTCATTTCTTTCATTCTTTCTTTCTTTTGAATGGTATATTTTTTATTCTCTTTCATTTTTTCCGGGTATGATTTTACGTTCATTTTTTCCTTTCTTTTCTTTCATTGTTTCTTTATTTTGAATGTTACATTTTTTATTCTCTTTTGTCCTGTAATGATTTTACGTTCATTTTTTCCTTTCTTTTCTATCATTCTTTCTTTTGAATGTTACATTTTTTATTCTTTTTCTTTTCTTTCCTGTAATGACTTTACGTTCATTCTTTCCTTTCTTTTATTTCCTTTCTTTTGAATTTCATTTTGTTTCTTTTTTTTTTTTTTTCCTGAATGTTTTACATTTTTATTCTTTTTCTTTTTTTTCCTATAATGATTTTACGTTCTTTTTATTTCCTTTCTTTCATTTTTCCTTTCTTTTATTTCATTCTTTTGTTCTTTTGAATGTTACATTTTTTATTCTTTTCTTTTTTTGTCCTGTAATGATTTTACGTTCATTCCTTCCTTTCTTTTCATTCATTCTTTCTTTCTTTTGAATATTACATTTTTTATTCTTTTTCTTTTTTTCTTGTAATGACTTTACGTTCATTCTTTCCTTTCTTTTCTTTCATTCTTTTTTTCTTTTGAATGTTACATTTTTTATTCTTTCCTTTTTTTCCTGTAATGATTTTACGTTCATTCTTTCCTTTCTTTTCTTTCATTCTTTCTTTCTTTTGAATGTTACATTTTTATTCTTTTTTTTTTATTCTTGTAATGATTTTACGTTCATTCTTTCCTTTAATTCTTTCATTTTTTTTTTTTGAATGTTACATTTTATTCTTTTGTTTTTTTTTGAATGTTTCATTTTTTTTTCTCTTTCATTTTTGTCCTTTAATAAATTTATTTTACGTTCATTCATTCTTACCTTTCTTTTCTTTCATTTCTTTCTTTTTTTGAATATTACATTTTTTATTCTTTTTCTTTTTTTCTTGTAATGATTTTACGTTCATTCTTTCCTTTCTTTTATTTCATTCTTTTTTTCTTTTGAATGTTACATTTTTTATTCTTTTTCTTTTTTTCCTGTAATGATTTTACGTTCATTCTTTCCTTTCTTTTCTTTCATTTCTTTCTTTCTTTTTTCATTTTTTTTTTTCTTTTTTTCCTTTGATTTTTTTTTCATTCTTTCCTTTTTTTCTTTCATTCTTTCTTTTCTTTTGAATGTTACATTCTTTTCTTTTTTTTTTTCCTTGTAATGATTTTACGTTCATTTTTTCTTTCTTTTCCTTCATTCTTTTTTTTTTTTGAATGTTACATTTTTATACTTTTTTTCTTTTTTTTCCTGTAATGATTTTACGTTCATTCTTTCCTTTCTTTTCTTTCATTCTTTCTTTCTTTTGAATGTTACATTTTTTATTCTTTTTCTTTTTTCCTGTAATGATTTTACGTTCATTCTTTCCTTTCTTTTCTTTCATTCTTTCTCTCTTTTGAATGTTACATTTTTATTCTTCTTCTTTTTTCCTGTAATGATTTTACGTTCATTCTTTCCTTTCTTTTCTTTCATTCTTTTTTTTTTGATTGTTACATTTTTTATTGACGTTCTTTTTTCCCGTTTTTACGTTCATTCTTTTTTTTTCTTTTCTTTTTTCTTTTTTCTTTTGAATGTTACATTTTTATTTTCTTTCATTTTTCCTTTCATTCTTTTCTTTCTTTTCTTCATTCTTCCTTTCTTGTGAATGTGACATTTTTATTCTCTTTTTGTCCTGTAAAGATTTTATTCTTTTTTTCCTTTCTTTTTTTTTTTTTTCCTTTTAATGTTAAATTTTATTCTTTTTCTTTCCTTTTACTTTCTTTCTTTCTTTCTTTTCTTCTTACTTTCTTTTTTTTTGATGTTACATTTTTTATTCTTTTTCTTTTTTTCCTGTAATGATTTTACGTTCATTCTTTCCTTTCTTTTCTTTCATTCTTTCTTTCTTTTTGAATGTTACATTTTTTATTCTTTTTCTTTTTTTCCTGTAATGATTTTACGTTCATTCTTTCCTTTAAATCTTTCATTGTTTTTTCTTTTGAATGTTACATTTTTTCTTTTCTTTTTTTTTCTGAATTATACTTTTATTTTTCTTTCATTTCTTTTTCTTTTTTTTTTGAATGGTATATTTTTTTCATTTCTTTTTTCCTTTGATTTTACGTTAATTTTTCCTTTCTTTTCTTTCTTTTTCTTTATTTTTCTTTATTCTTTTTTATTCTTTTTTTCCTGTAATGATTTTACGTTCATTCTTTCCTTTCTTTTCCTTCATTCTTTTTTTCTTTTGAATGTTACATTTTTTATACTTTTTCTTTTTTTCCTGTAATGATTTTACGTTCAGTCTTTCCTTTCTTTTCTTTCATTCTTTCTTCCATTTGAATGTTACATTTTTTTTCTTTTTCTGTTTTTCCTGTAATGATTTTACGTTCATTCTTTCCTTTCTTTCTTTTTCTTCTTGTGAATGTTACATTTTATTCTTCTTCTTTTTTTCCTGTAATGATTTTACGTTCATTTTTTTTTTTTCTTCTTTTTTTTTTTTGATTGTTACATTTTTTATTGACGTTCTTTTTTTTCTTTTTTAGGTTCTTTCTTTCTTTTCTTTCATTCTTTTTTTTTTTTGAATGTTACATTTTTTTTCTTCTTTTTTTTCCTGTAATGATTTTACATTCTTTCTTTCTTTTCATTTTTTTTTTTGAATGTTACATTTTTTTCTTTTTTTGTAATATTTTACATTCATTCTTTCCTTTCTTTTCAGTTTTATTCTTTCTTTTGAATATTACATTTTTATTCTTTTTTTCTTGTAATGACTTTATTCTTTTATTCTTTTGTTCTTTTGAATGTTTTTTTTTATTCTCTTTCATTCTTTTCCTGAATGATTTTACATTTTTCCTTCCTTTCTTTTTTTGTTCTTTCTTTTGAATGATTTTTTATGCTCTTTCATTTATTTCCTGTAATGATTTTACGTTCATTCTTTTCTTTCTTCTTCCTTTCATTCTTTTTTTCTTCATTTATTTCCTGAATGATTTTACATTCTTTTTTAATTCTTTCTTTCATTTTGAATTCTTTTCCTTTTTTTTCCTGTAATGATTTTACGTTCATTCTTTTCCTTTCTTTTCTTTTATTCTTTCTTTTTTTGAATGTTTTATTTTTTTTGCCTTAATGATTTTACGTTCATTCTTTCCTTTCTTTTTCTTTCATTCTTTTTTTCTTTTTGAATGTTGATTTTTATTCTTTTCCTTTTTTCCTTTAATTTTTTCGTTCATTCTTTTCCTTTTCTTTCATTCTTTCTTTTTTTTTTTTATTCTCTTTTTTTTTTCCTGTAATGATTTTACTTTCTTTTTTTCCTTCTTTCTTTTGAAAGATACTTCAATGGGAGGAACAAGGGTCAAGATCGAAAAGCAACACGCATAAATGCCTATAAAACAGATCGAGCCCGTATCTGGCTTTAGTTGTTTGTCTTACGACATATCTCCTTTTTCTTGCCGATTTTTGCAATAACGTGTTTTCTTTTTTCTTTCTTTTCACTGTTACATTTCTCGTTCTCTTTCTTTTTTTTACTTTCTTTCCATTCTTTTATTCTTTCTTTCTTTTGAATGTTACATTTTTTCATTCTCTTTCGCTTTCTTTTTTCTTGTAATGCCTTTACTTTATTTCTTCAATTTCTTCTCTTCAGAGCTATGAAAAATTTGTGAAATACAATCACACTTTTGCTAAAATAAAGAAAAGATTCTATCATCGTCCTCAAAGATGTTCTGCTTGTTGATCAAAATACTTGGAGATATTTCAAAGATCAACATTTCACAGCATATTCTCAACAGTCAATAGAATATAACGATTACATTCGCCAAAGAAATTTCGACTCTTTTGTTCTGTGGCTACCGGTTTACCAATACCATAAACAAGGAACTGATTAATACTTTTTACAAGCAAGCTCGAGAATTCATTTTTCTTAATATGTTGCCATATTTCAAGAATATGCTTTGAAGAGTGACTCAAGACAGACGATTACTGTATGGTGTGCGTGATATGAATGCAAGGTGCTAGAAAATATTATGAGTACAAGAAGAATAGATAATGGTTAACCATTGACTTGAAGACGTTAAGATTATACGGTTAAGGGAGGCATCCATACGTGTGTCTGAAGTTATTGTGGAAAAGCTGAACTTCTTCCTTACGATTGGAATACGAAGGAAATGAGTGTGATTCGACTCTGTGGATATAGCATAGTGTATACTAGCTGTAAAGGTCTGGGCTAGTGGAACTAAAGAATGTAGCTCATCTGAACGTTTGCAATGGAACTAGCGACAAACATGTTTGCTAGATTGATTGACTCATTTTCTAAAGCTTATCAACCCTTTGCAGAAAATAGTTTTAGATTGGAAGAATTTCTTTTAGGAGATAATAATTTAGTGATACAAGCCTTAGTAATTAACCCATAGCTGGGGGAAGAAGAGGTGGATTCATACCTTATTTACGCTTAAGTGAATATAAAGAACCCAATGGGAATTTGAACTCGGCTCTCTGGTTAATAATTTCGAGCCATTATTCATTGCGCCATCCGCATATCCAAACATACAGAAATGGTATTCCCAAGCGGTCACTCATCTAGGTACTGACCACGCCCCGCGTTGCTTAACTTCAGTAATCGAACAGGAACGGGTTTTTCAGCGTGATAAGATTTGCATTTTGAACTCTGTCAAGGTTTAAAGGGCAGAAGGAGCAGCATCAGCATATACTTCATTTTTCGTCTAATCTGACTTTTCTAAAGATAAATCGTAGTAGAAGGAGTCAAGCGCTTGCTGAACCGATACAATGAAGCAGACGGCTTTCTAGCATTTTTCGCAATGGATTATATATATGAGTCCCACTTGATGTGTGGAAACGACTCCAGGCCCAATAGTTAACAGCATGGAGTATCGTTAAGAGTGCAGCTGTTAATCGTGATTGGAGAAAGCTTAACGTCAGATCGATGATGATAATACCCACTTGGTTATTGAGATATTCAAAGGTACAAGGCAGTTTTTCCTTATTGAGCTGTTAAAGCGAGATAAGAGATAAAATCAAATGTAAAGCTCCGACTGAGAGCATTTTTTACATTGTAGATTTTTTTTGCTTTGTTCGATTGCTTATTAAAATGTTTGAAAACAACCAGATTTTGCTTTCTTATTCGCAGATGACACAGTACTGATAGCAGACACGGAAATGAAACTACAAAACCTCCTACAGAAGGTAGCGAAGGAGAGCGAGAAGGAATAAGCATAAACTACAAGAAGACAGAATGCATGGTCATCAGTAAAAGGATGACCCCGAAATGCGATTTGCAGGTTGGGGACACTAAAATAAAGCAAGGTGTGGAAGTTTAAATATTTAGGAAGTATTTTGTCAGAGGACGGCAAGTGCAACACATGTTCGTAGACGTAGTGGAATGGCCAAGGACGTATTCCAAAAGCTGGGCAGAGTACTGTGATACGGGAGGATCTCTTTGGTAACAAAGAAAAGAGTATTGAGCTGTTACGTGACATCTGTCCTCCTTTACGACAGCGAATGTTGGACGGTCTCCTCAAAGATGAAAAGGAGACTCGAGATGTGATTCTACAGAAGGATGTTGAGGATATGATGGACCAAGCGTGTGAGCAAAGATGAGGTCTTGGAGAGGATGCAAACAAGCAGGAGACATACTTAATATCAGAAAGAGACAGTTGAAGTTTTTGGGATACGAAATGAGAAAGGATGACATGAAGAATCTGATACTCACAGGTCGAATAGATGGAAAGAAAGACAACGAAAAGCTACGCATGACATAACTGGAGGTCTTAAGCAAGTGGTTGACAGAACGTGGTCTGGGGGAGGTGGCAGAGGGACGGAAATTATTGAGAGATACAAGAAATAGGGTAAAGTGGAGGGCCATGATCGCCTACGTCCTGTAAGTACACGGCACACAAAAAGAAAGAACATATCAAAGTTCAAAACCATTCACGCGATCTTGTTGCGGAAGAAATTCTTCATTTGCGGACTTTTTTTACCATGGACAAAACGTCGGAAACGTATAGCTAATTCCATGACAAATATTCAGATGAGCTTCATTTTTTAGTTCGACGTGTTCAGACCTTTACGTGTAGGACACACAAAGCTATTTCTACGGAGTTGAATCACACTCATTCCAGATGTAGAGAGAAAGTGTCGCCCAGGGAAACATTTTCACAAGAACAGTTACTTTCACAACGCGATTTCTACGAAGTTGAGTCACCCTCATTTCCTCCGGATTCCAGATGTAGGGGAGAAAGTGTCGCCCAGGGAAGATTTTTCACAAGAACAGTTACTTTCACAACGCGATTTCTACGGAGTTCAGTCACCCACATATCCTCCGGATTCCAGATGTAGGAGAGAAAGTGTCGCTCAGTGAAGCATTTTCAAAGAACAGTTACTTTTACCACACGATTTCTACGGAGTTCAGTCACCCACATATCCTCCGGATTCCAGATGTAGGGGAGAAAGTGTCGCCCAGGGAAGATTTTTCACAAGAACAGTTACTTTCACAACGCGATTTCTACGGAGTTGAGTCCCCCTCATTTCTTCTGGATTCCAGATGTAGGGGAGAAAGTTTCAGCCAGGGAAGAATTTTCACAAGAACAGTTACTTTCACAACGCGATTTCTACGAAGTTGAGTCACCCTCATTTCCACCGGATTCCAGATGTAGAGAGAAAGTGTCGCTCAGTGAAGCATTTTCACAAGAACAGTTACTTTCACAAAGCGATTTCTACGGAGTTGAATCACCCTCATTTCCTCCGGATTCCAGATGTAGGGGAGAATGTGTCGCTCAGGGGAGTATTTTCACAAGAACAGTTACTTTCACAACGCGATTTCTACGAAGTTGAGTCACCCTCATTTCCTCCGGATTCCAGATGTAGAGAGAAAGTGTCACTCAGTGAAGAAGTTTACAAGAACAGTGACTTTCACAACGCGATTTCTACGGAGTTCAGTCACCCACATATCCTCCGGATTCCAGATGTAGGAGAGAAAGTGTCGCTCAGTGAAGCATTTGCAAAGAACAGTTACTTTCACAACGAGATTTCTACGGAGTTGAGTCCCCCTCATTTCTTCTGGATTCCAGATGTAGGGGAGAAAGTTTCGCCCAAGGAAGAATTTTCACAAGAACAGTTACTTTCACAACGCGATTTCTACGAAGTTGAGTCACCATCATTTCCTCCGGATTCCAGATGTAGAGAGAAAGTGTCGCTCAGTGAAGCATTTTCACAAGAACAGTTACTTTCACAAAGCGATTTCTACGGAGTTGAATCACCCTCATTTCCTCCGGATTCCAGATCTAGGGGAGAATGTGTCGCTCAGCGAGGCATTTTCACAAGAACAGTGACTTTCACAACGCGATTTCTACGAAGTTGAGTCACCCTCATTACCTCCAGATTCCAGATGTAGGGGAGAAAGTGTCGCTCAGGAAAGCATATTCACAAGAACAGTTACTTTCACAAAGCGATTTCTACGGAGTTGAATCACCCTCATTTCCTCCGGATTCCAGATGTAGAGAGAAAGTGTCACTCAGTGAAGAAGTTTACAAGAACAGTGACTTTCACAACGCGATTTCTACGAAGTTGAGTCACCCTCATTTCCTCCGGATTCCAGATGTAGGGGAAAATGTCGCCCAGGGAAGCATTTTCACAAGAACAGTTACTTTCACAAATCGATTCCTACGGAGTTGAATCACCCTCATTTCCCCCGGTTTCCAGATGTAGAGAGAAAGTGTCGCTCAGGTAAGCATTTTCACAAGAACAGTTACTTTCACTACGCGATTTCTACGGAGTTGAGTCACCCTCATTTCCTCCGGATTCCAGACGTAGGGGAGAATGTGTCGCCCTGGGACCATTTTCACAAGAACAGTTAATTTCTGCAATAGACTCCCACATGAATATTTTCCTGAACATTATCAAGGTCAAAGAATCTTCAAGTCAAGAGTCAATTTTCCTACTGCATTCATTCGCATCAGAACCCTTTTAAGAGTAACCATCTACCTTGAATGGCTTTCGAGCCTTGTATCGGGTGCCTACCGAGGTTAAGACAATTTTCCTACCACGTTCTCTTTCATCCTTACATCATTGATCAGAATCATTTTAACAGTAACCATGTACATTGACTTGCTTTCGAGTCTCGTATCGGTGCCTACCAAGGTTAAGAAAATTTCCTACCATCTTCTCTTTCATCCTTACCTCATTCTTCAGGACCATTTTATCCGTAACCATCTACCTTGAGTGGCTTTCGAGCCTTGTATCGGGTGCCTACCAAGTTTAATCAATTTTCTTACCACATTCTCTTTCATCCATACATCATTCATCAGAAACATTTTAATAGGAACCATCTACCTTGAGTGGCTTTCGAGCCTTGTATCGGTGACTGCCAGGTTTAACACAATTTTCCTACCACTTTCTCTTTCATCCATACATCATTCAGCAGTACCATTTTAACAGTAATCATCTACCTTGAGTGGCTCTTGAGCCTTGTATCGGGTGACTTTTAGTATTATGAAAACGAACAAATTTCCGCTTAATTTTTTTTACTGAATGCGTCTAATTACAACCTTGACTGCTGCTGATGACACGAGTTCCTCTCACCTTACTTCCATACTAAATGCATTTGCTTGCATGTGTACACATTTGCGTATGCTCTCACACGTATGAATAGAACGTTGAAATATATCGTTTATTAGTGAATATTAATAATTCAGACACCGGCCGACATGATAAAAAGAAATACTGAGACGACAGCGTAATAGAAAGATCAAACCAATCGAGACGGATCAACTTGATCCACTTTGAAAAACAGATAAAAGTTTACAAATCAAATAATTTTTATGGCAGAAAATTAATTTGATCAGAGATCACACGACCACGCAAAGAATCATAATCTCCTTAAACTCACTTTTCGTCTGTCTGACTTTCTCTCTCTCTTGTGTATGTGTGTGCAGACGCACTAATAAACCCACACGTTTACTTATGATTAATCTGATATATTTACGCATGTAAAACACACGTATATAAGTTTATGGGCAGGTACATATGGACAAGTTAGCAAATACATAAATATATACGTACGTAATGTGTACATACATATGTAAAACACATTCGCAACAATATATATATATATATATGTTTTAAAGAATAAAAAATATTAAAAAATTAAAATTTTCTGACACACTAGGTTGAATATTAAAATTTTTTCTTTTATTATTTCAATTAAGTTCTTCGGCTAGTTTCGGCCAGCATGACCATCATCAGGAGAAAAAAAATTCTGCTTGTTAGTAGCAGTGAACTACAGGAATGAATGACTTTCTGATGAAAATGATCTTTATCTGTAGTTTTCATTTATTTTTTTATCGTTAATTTTGGTCAGTTCTTACGTTGGTCAAACAAAGTTGTTTTTAAGATACAGGCTGGGTAGAGTCATGTGACTTAGAATTTCCTTGGTTCTTTTGACAGTTTTATTGGTTGCTGGGGGGATGTGTGTGTTAAATGTATGTTATCTTTTAGTTCTTTGGGAGTGTGTATGATGTGTGTAAGTGTATATATAGGTATGGGTGTGTGTGTGTAAGTGTCAGACCTATACATACATACATACATACATACATACATACATACACACACACACACATATATATATATT